AATTAATGTTAATCAGTATTTTAAAAAACATTGTATTTGACAGAATAAACCTGATGATGGAACGTACCTAGTTCCGAAACGTCGTATTAAACATCTTCAAAAAACAAATTGTTTTTTATTATTGGATTTACTGTTCGGAAAAGAAACAATCAATATATATATATATATATATATATATATATATATTTGAATATTTTTGCAGCCCAATCGTCGAATTAAAAAAAGATTAAATAGAATTTTTTTATTCCATTAAACGTTTTGACACTTGATGTGTGTCATCATTCAGTAATCTAAAAAACATAATACAAAAGTTGATAAAAAATATACATATATAAAAAGGAGAAAGTTATATACATACTAAACCAGGAAAAACAACAGAAAAAAATAATTATGTAAATTTATTGAACACTAAAATTGTGTAAAAGAATAATATGCTAATATATTAATAAACGAGGAATTAAAGGAGCACATATTGTTCTCCTAAATTGTATGCGTTCAATAGCGGTGCATTGTGAATACTGATCAAGGTTACGCAGCACGTGTAGTGAGTCAGTGGGAGCGAGGGTGAATATATATATATATATATATATATATATATATATATATATATATATATATAATAAATAGTTTTTTTTTGTTCGACGTTGAGACATTCTTGAATAAAGATTTTCAGTCAGTCGTCGAAAAAAAAGAAAACAAATATATATATATATATGTGTGTGTGTGTGTGTGTGTGCGTGTGTGTTGTGTGTGCGTATGCGCTCATGAATTTTCTAAAATGTAGCGATTCTTATCGAAGAAATGGAAAGTTAGTCTTAATCGTAATAACATACAAATATTTCCATTAAATTTTATATATAATTTACCTGAACGAAAATTAATGGCATCGTTTATTTATTTATTTAATTATGAATACGTATATACACACACACAGATATATATATATATATATATATATATATATATATACAATATGAATTATTAAATAATACGCTTGGTTTCACAGTATTTTTTATTAGAGGAAGCCTTTAGAACGCATGAAGCGTAACTTTTGAGATAAATTTCCTTGGATATCTTAATTTAATTATCAATATAGGTTCAAATAACCTTATTCCAACTTTTTATTTTATTGCAGAACATGGTATAAAATAATTTTATCAGATAAAACTTTTATTGTTATTATATCATATATATTTTCTTGATATTTCTTTTTGAATTACAATTTATCTTGAGAACTTAAGTTTCTGCTTCTTATAACTCTATTTTTAATTGAAAATATAGACCCAATTATGATTCTAGGTGAAAACAACCTTTCGGGGCATTGCTGCAACATATATCATTATAACAAGTATATAGTTTTGTTACGTAGTTATAGAATTTCATTAAAACTCTCGTTCGATAATTCAGGTTGTTTAGATATAATTTAACCCTTGTAGCTGTGGACTGTATTAAACACTGATTTGTTTGTATATTAGGTATTTGTTGCAGTTCTAATTACAATCACTGATTTGTTACTAAGTTAAAATGAAAAAAGATATATTTATTGGTTATTTATTATACATGTTGTTTCGCGGACTTTACTTTTAGAAGTAAATAACTAGTTAAATCAAAACACTCCGCTACCCCCTCTACCAGGGGTAGCAACCATTCTGTGTAAAGCTTAATGCCCTGAAGGTTGTCACCTTCATGTCCAATATAATAAAACGAAAATACGTCCGAACAAAGTACTTGCTTATCAAGTACCATCACAAAAAAGAAACGACAACCATTAGTTTCTCATAAATAGATTGTGGATGAACAAAACTTATAAAACACTAATAATAGTTTTCTTTAGAATAAGTTTTCCTTTTGAGGCATTGCTGCAACACATATCAAATCATTATTACAATACCTAACCTATCTGCTATAACAATCACATAAAAGAACGACAACCATTGGATTCTCATAACAAGTTAGGTTTGATGAGCAAAACTTGCAGATCATTAAGAAAAGTTCCCTTTAGAGTAAGGTTTCTTTTTCGGGGCATTGCTGCAACATATTTCAAACCATTATTACTATACCTATCTATTATAACCATAACAAAAATGAAACGACAACCATTGGAATCTCATAAGAAGTTCGATTTGATGAGCAAAACTTATAGATCACTAAGATGAGTTTCCTTTATCTTTTTCGGGGCATTGCTGCAACATATATCAAAACATCAGTACAAGTATTTATGTATCTACTAATACCTTCACAAAAAAGAAAGGACAACTATTGGGTTCTCATAAGAAGTTAAATTCGATGAGCAAAAGCTTATAGAACACTAAGAACAGTTCTCTTTAGAATATAGTTACCTTTTCGGGGCATTGCTGCAACATACATCACAACATTATCACTAGTACTTATTTATTTGCTAATACTTTCACAAAAGAGCAATGGCAACTATTGGGTTCACATAAGCAACTAGATTTGATGAGCAACAGTTCAAGGAACACTAAAAGTCCTGATTGCTACTCAAAAAAATGCTTTAGAGACGCCTCGAACTTAAATGGGCGTGACCGGTATATTTTAGTATTTCTTAAAGCCAACCCAAACTTCAATCATGTCAGGACCATATGGATAAGTTAGATAGACATCTATATATGGACCCACAACCACTTAGACTTCATCATCTGGCTTATTAATATTATTACCTACTAAATCATTCTGTATACATCCACAAATGATTTCTTCATCCTTTTTATTTTTTTGTTAATTTTGCGACCTCTGCCTTTGACTATATATTTATTTATGCGTATTTATCTTTTGTCAGCTCACTGCATTTGTTGTGAGTCAGAGTTATTGGTCATTAAAATTTATTCTTCGCGATTCATTACACTTTGCGAATCCATCGGAAGCTTTTGTGATTTATCGCTCTCTTAGTAGAGGTAGAGGTAGAGGTAGATGTTACTTCGGTGTATTGACATTTATGCGAAGGCTTGTTTCCTTGTACACATTATATAACTACGTTTGTACTTTTATATTCAATATTCTTATAATAAATTATCTTGAGTATATTATTTTATACTAATCATATATGTATGTGTACGTTACAAACTCTGAGAATCAAACTTGTTTCTCCAAAATTATTTGATTTAGGAGGGACAGTTATAGATAATTTACAATGATGACTAAAACTCTTTAAGTGAAGTTGAAAATGCTTTAATTGAAATTTCTTAAAATGTTTGTAGTGTTTTATTTCACTTTACTAAAATTCTGGCTACTCTCCTGGATACACCAGGAACTAATTAATGCAACATATTGTTGTTTTCATATTTATAAATAAAACATAAATTATATTCATATATTTGTATATATGTATATGGGGTAGGGCGGGGCACAAAGGTCCCATTCGATTTTGAGCAATTATATTGTGAAAATCAAACAAATCATATCACAATAAATAACACATGTCGAGGAAATAATTACATTCTTGACTATGTTCAGTAAACTCCTATCATTGTGGAAATTTGCTTTTTTGCTGTTTTTTAAAGAACACTGTATATATCCTTGATCTAGTTGTTTGTCAGAAATATTCATCAGCAGAGTTGGAATAACTATTTATTTAATTTATCTTATGTAAAATTGCTTTTTTTATTAAATATTTTTATTGTTCATACCTTTGCCAAGGTAAAGGTTCATTTGGTCCTTTACCTCACTCAGGTATTAGCTTATATAGAGGTTATATAAAAAAAAACTATAAAAAACTATAAATAAAAACGTTGTAGTGGTGATGGCAACTATCATGGTGAAAATAAGAAAAAAAATCTGTGCGGTTTGAAAGTTATGAGCTTTTAATTGCAACCTAGAGCTTTGGTTAAACTGTGACCATTTTATTGGTTATTGTATTTAATTTTTATTAATTTTGTTTATTCAAACTTTGCATCCGAAATAATTAATAAGATTTCTAGGACCACAGTCAAAGATAATGCCCCAAATTGGCCCAAAATTTTTAAAAATTAAGACTTTGTTGAACTATGAATTTAAAATTTTCAATATTTTTTTAAAAATAAAATGTACTAAATTGTGTTGGCAAGTTCCATCAAAAGTTTGCACATTTAATCAGGATTGTATAATGGTAAAATACTTGATACTTTTATATCAAAATATTCGAGAAAAAATAAAAATTACTTGAATCGAAGTGCAGGTTCATATTCTAACTGAGCATTGGAATCACCCACGAACTGAGAAAGTTTGAGCAATATTTGCTTAATATATTTTATTTGCTTTATTGTACACAGTTTATTTATTCAAATTTATTTGTTTTTTGTATTATATACCTATATTTGTTCATATACGTTCTTCTAAATAATATCATTATGGAGATAATGCCATGAAGTAATTAACATGTGGTGTTTAGTTTATGTAAAGTATTACCTTCGCCTTGCTAAAATCTTTTTATTACAGTAATTTTACACCTGTTCTGAAATGAACAAGAAGTTGAACTGTAGGATTAAAAATGACTTTGAAAATACAAAATTTTCTGAATATTATCAGAGATTTTGAAAATTTACACGTATGAATGTAACATGAGTTTCTTTTTGAATCTTTACAACTATTCAAAGAAAGAGATTATATCGCCAGCGAAAAAGTAAAAAAATACAAGCAGTCAATGAATGTATGTTAATTTTAATTACATGAAGTTCTTCAAACACAATTACATGATGAGTGAAGTTGCAAAAAACAATATTTGTTTAGGCGTTGTTTAACATAATAAACTGTGTAAACGAATATTATAGAATTTATTAATCAGCAATTACTTAATTTCTCTAATGAAGGTTCATTTCTAAATACTAATTCATGACTTTGAATGAACATGTTAAAACCCCAACGCACCATCAAGACATTGTAGGGTCAATAAAATATTAAAACCTCTCATATCTTAACTTTTACCTCTCCTCTTCACAATATCACCTATAAATCTAATGCAAATATTTCCTGGGCATCTGACAATATCCATTGTTTCCGCATTGCAGATAGTGGGCGTCCAACAATACCTGGTGCGACCTAGCGCGGCCGATGTTAATGAGAACTTACCTGGCGCTGAACAATTGGCGGAGAGCTCGTTAGCCGAACAAGCCCTAGGACAATCCGGCAGGCCGCTGCAGCATGCCATACAACAGGTCAGGATAATATGATTAATTGAACATTTTCAACATTAAGATGAAACGTAACTCGTTAGGTATATATGAATAGAGGAATAGACATTGTTGGGAAAAAGATTTTTGCAGGAGCTGTTTAGGGGGCGTCCATTAATCACGTAAAGCTTTTAGGGTGAGGGGGGGGGGTGGTTGGCAAGAAATCACAAAACACCATGTAGGGAAGGTAGAAGTAAGATATCATGTATATTTATTTTTTACCTTTGAAAAAAAATCAAAACAAAAAAAAATTACGTCTTTATCGTAAATTTGTTCGAAAATTTTTACGTAACTAAAAATATCCAAACTTGATGTTTGGTGAGGGAGAGGGGTTAATTTTAAATATCATGACGTATCACCAAGATAAAGGGGGCGAGTCCAAAAATCCCTAAAAACTCGATCACGTGATTCATGGACGTCTTCTTATTAATTGTCGGCGCTTAAGTTTTTGTAATATAAATTTCCTATATACTTATTTTGATTTATCCTGATCTTGATCCATAGTTTGTGGATACGATTTTATATATTCCATTTTTTTTATATAATCACACGTTATTCATAAATATTTTGTTTGAGTTTTTGCTTGAATTTCGACATTTGCATAACTCGTTAGGATAAACGAATGTATAAGAAAGACAATTTTATGGGAACCATTCATTAATTAGTAATTACACAAGTCTACACGAAAAAGTTGTCTGTATTGGGTCTATGGCATATGTTTTTCAATCTAGTTTTTAATGCTGAACACGAATTCAAAGTCAAAATTTGGGGGTCAAATAGAATTTACTAGAAAAAAAAATAAAAAAACGTGATCTCCGATCTAGTCATTCTTCTGCGTGATAATTAAAATCTTACAATTTCTGTCGTTTCCTTGCCCTTTTTACCTTAAATGAATGACTATTGAGTATTCACTTAAAAGATCTATTAAGCATTTTTTGTAGATTACTGCAGTAATTTGAAAATATATTTTTGAATACTCAATTCTAAGTATTCTTGCAAATTAAAACTTTATTCAATATCACCCAGGGACAATGGGAAGTAAGTATGTTTGCAAATTACTGATGAATTATACCGAAACAAACTGAACAGATCATATAATTAAAACTCAATAGTCATTTAAGGTGAAAAGGGCTAGCTAACGACAAAGATTATAAGATTTTAATTATCATGCAGAACTTATTGGATCAGAGAGTTTGTCGTTTCTTTATTTATTTTTTTCAATTTTTTGCTATATGGCCCCCAATTTTTACTTGACTTGAAGATTTGTGATCAGCGTTAAAAACTATATTAAGAAACACATACCGCTCATTCAATACAAGAATTTTTTTTTTGTGGACCTGTGTTATTATTGGTGGTAAAATTTTTGAAATATGTCTGCTAATATTTTAAGGACTTGGTTATACACATATTAACTTTTTCAACACATAATATTATCTTACTTTTTTACGCAAAATATTATCTTATTTATGAATATTAAAAATTTTGGAATCGTTTGAGTTTCGATTTAAGCATAAATAATAAGGAAATAGGGGGGAGAAAATTTTATTGAAGTTCATTTATTGTGGATTCTTAAATCATTTTATTTCTTTATCCAATGATTCGAAGACGTTTTTTTATTATATAATTTTATTTAATCTTATTTATAAATAAAATTTATTTAATTTGGTTCGAGCTTGCTTAAGTTTCGACTAATGCGTTACCATCAACATTAACTCATCAACACGTTCGTGGACACTTAAAAGTTTCAGAAAGATACAAAAATTGATAATTGATATCTGAAATTTGGTTAAACCCCGTTATAAGTTTAGTCAGATTCTCATATCTTAATCGTATTATGCTATGAATACTATAGCATCCACGTCATGTATTTCACTTCTATTTTCCGCAATATGCTTGCCTAAGAAGTTGTATTTATGACTACGGGAAAAGATAAGATAATAGAAAAATACCTGAGTTATCGGTTTAATATTTATTAGTGTCAACCACTATATATGGTAATATGATAAATTTTAAATTCTATATTTATAATAGCATCATAAATATATATAATATTTAAAAACAATAATGTAATTGAAGTCATACTTCAAATGTGACATGATCGGTTTGTCATTGTAATTAGCATTTAAAAATAGAAAAATGAAGTAATTGCTGATTAATAAATTCTATAATATTTGTTCAAACAGTGAATTATGTTAAACAACGCATAAACAAATATTGTTTTTGCAACTTTACTCATCATGTAATTTTGTTCGAAGAACTTCATGTAATTAAAATTAACATACATTCATCGACTGCTTGTATTTTTTTTACTTTTTCGCTGACTAATATCTGTCATTTTAATAACTTCAAAGATTTATAGAAACTACGAATAATATAGAAATGATTTCTAATCAATAAACTTACGTTTAGCACACGGCACAAATGTTTAATTTGTTATATTATTTTCAAGTAACAGGGTAAAATATTCTTCTGATTCAGGCATTTTTCATTAAATCAAGATTTGTACTACGATGTAACTTTAAAATGTTTATTTATCTATGCTGATTTCCTTGCTGATATCGGTACGCATACAACGACAGATCTCTATTCACATACGCGACGAGTAATCACAGTCGACCCGTATAGAAATGATATCATCGAGAGCGAATGGCGAATCATTGGCACTCGACTCTGCCGTAACGCACTTCCGTTGCATTTGAACGGATTTACACCCTAGTCGCGCCTAAAGAAGTTTCACTTCAAAAACTAATTTTCAAACAGGTTCAAAATCTCTGTTTCTCATTATTGTTGCACATTTCCCGATTTGTGCAAGCATGTCAACTAGAACGTTGAATAAGCAAAAGCTCCATACAAGTGTCATTCGTGCGACAGAACCGAGAGCCGAGAAGAACAGTTCCCGCAATTCGTAATCCGTAATCCGCCATCCGCAATCCGCAATCCTCGGCTTTGTCATAGAATAGATGTTCGCTGACGGCCCAGCTGATGCGTTTAGAAAGCGCGGAATTAATATGTGCCAAACGGTAACCCTTCTGCTATGAAAGGTAACGGGACAATTTTATAGCGCAATCTTTTAAAGCAGACGCCTCTTGATGTTGATGGCCGAACCATTATCTTCGCATCGGGAGATGGATCGTTTTGGTTTTATCGACAACGATTCATTTTGTTTTTATCGAGATTGTATTGTTAGCGTTAGATGCTGTGCTATTTGACTCGTTATTATTTTGTTAGTGAGAAGGCGAAGGTTTCGTATAATAGTCTATTCTATGTGCAGACATTGGTTTATGTTCAAATTACATTTGAAATATAGAACTAATTTTACGAAACTAAAATTATTAGTCGCAGGCGTGTAGTTATTGTTGTAAGTTCATACTTCGTGTATATTTATATGAGACTAAATCTTCAGGGCAATACGTCAAATAAAAAATTGTAGAAAATTTATTACATCTTTTATATTTCTATACGTTTCGACATATAGGGAGAAGTCCCCGATGCCGGACACCTAAGGTTATTTATAAATAAACCAAAAAATATTTTACGAAATGTTTATTAAATTATGACTTATGTTAGATAACAAAGTTAGAAATGAAACTAAATTAACAAAAACGCAATATTTGCTAATCAATAATTAATACTATCAATCAAACTTTGGTAACAAAAAATCTGATTTTACAAAGTGGCACCTAGTACCGGACCTTTCAAAATGACCAGCATTGAACACATATGTAGCCATCTCCACACTCTGGAATGTCTGCACATTTGTGTTTGACGAAATATTCTCAGATATTGCAAAAAAAAATCACCAATTATCCACCCTTTGTCAATTCAACAGATCATTTTTTTTAGGTAGGTATTTGAGTTGTCGTCTGAAATGGTTGTGGATTGTCGAAATTTTAATGAGTTGTCTTAATTTAATGATTTGAGTTGTCTGCAAGGCGTTGTAATTGTCTGCAAAAGTGTTGTATAAGGTCTTAATATGATTGTAAGTTGTCTAAAAGGGTTATAAGTTGTCCAAAAGTTGTAAGTGATCCTGAAAGTGTTGTATCTGGTCTTAACTTGTATCTGGTCGAATGAAAATGTTGTATTGGTTTGAAAAAAATGCTGTAAGTTTTCTGAAAGTGTGTAAGTTATCTAAAAATATTGAAAGTGGTCTGAAATGTTGTGAGTTGTCTGAAATTTTAATGATTTGTCTGAAATTTTAATGATTTGTCTTTGAAATTTTTAATGATTTGTTGAAATTTTAATGGTTATGTCTCAAATCCGATGCAAAATATCTCACATTTCAACATCAAAATTATTAAAATATTTTAACAGTTCTACATTACATTCGTCAAGAAAATAATTTACTCAATTGCTATACGTTTCGACACTTCAACCGTGTCATCATTCAATTAAAACAAACCATCTAGAATAAACTGACACTGCAAAATTTTACAATATACCCTAAGATTCAGCTATAAACATGAGTATAAAATTATCCATTAATTCATTGTAGTTTATGTCGACTTAATGATAATAATCTATTGTAATTACACCAGTAGATTTATTTGTGTTTTTGCCCAGATCTGTAATTTATGTTTAGTTTGTGTTTATGTTCTGCAGACCTTAAGTAGGTTTTTGTTATGACCATAAGTTAACTCTAGATTTTCTAATACGAGATTCATTCTTAATATGTAAATGTCAATAGTCAACAAATCATTGTCGTATAATCAGCTTTTCGTCTAAAGAAGGTAATGATCTCGTGATGAACATATAATATCTATATATCAGTTTTTTTACGTTTTTGTGCCTTATTTTAATATTTCATATTTCTCTATTCTTTGTTCAATGTAATTGGAAAGATTCATAGTTGAAGAATTATCTAAGGATCAAAGTTTTAATTTACAATGATGAAGCCTATATTGAAAATGGAAAAAACTGTTTAAACCATTTTTGGTATTAATGAATTAGGTGACTTTCAAGTCACCGTGCTGACTTTTAGGTTTATA